AGTCATGTGCCAATTTATGGACCACTGCACACAGACACACACATACGCTTACACACACAAACTCTCTCTTACACACACACACACACACTCTCTCTCTCTCTCACACACACACACACACACTCTCTCTCTCTCTCTCACACACACACACACCCACACACACACACATGAAAAAAGATGATATAACAAGAAAGTTCAGACAGGAATCATTGAAAATTATGAACACAAATCCTCACTGTACAAGACCCTAGAGCACAAGGTCCAGATTACATTGAGCCTACATCACAGAAACAGGCCACTTGGCCTGTCTTCTCCATACCAGTGTTTTCTGAACCACATGAGTCTTTTCCCACCCAACAGATATGCTTCCATTCCTTCCTCCCTCTTCAATGCCTTTCTACAATTCCTTATCCAGCTTCTATTTCCCCTGCCTTCAATTTATCAAAAGTATTCTCCTTCCCCACTCCCTGCGGGAGCAAGTCCCACATTTTTCCCACCCTCTGGATGATGAGGTTAGCCTGAGACTGTCAGACATTAAGGGACCACAGCCGAGGTCTGGGTTCCTAAGTCACAAAATCAAGGTTCCATTGCCCTCTGTCCAGCCCATTGGAACTAGTAGAATAAAGACAATGGACTTCACAACATCACAAAACAAGTGTTGATTCAAATTCAAATCAGAATCTGACAGCGTAACAGAAAACCAGATGCTAGGATGCTACATGGATTTAAATCTAACACAGAGATAGCTGCTCCACACAGGCATCATCCCCAGAAACGAAAGAATTATTGTGTGTGGTGTACCACAATATCTAATAAAATCTTCCCAAGTCAAGGTAACGAACGGAGATGTTATGCTATAGGAGAGCCAGAGGATTGTTCAAAGTTATTCTAAAATCAGCAAAGGTTAACCCGATAGATTCCCAGGGTAAGGTGATTGTCCTGTGGGGAGAGATGAAGGAGAGTGGCCCTTTGTTGAAAAGGAAAAGGTTGCTGAATGAAACAGATAAAATTCGGGTGTGGATTTGACTGGGGAGCTGCCGAGAGGAAATTCACCCTCCCTGCGCCACCCCCACTCCCCCCATCTTTCTCTCCCAAATGCTAGTTGAACGAGGGAACCCAGGGCAGGAACAAGAGACAAACGTTTCCTACCTGACTCGAGCAGAAATTTCTGCATTTGTAATGTAGTGAACCATTGCAATTGTTGACCCCCTCGAGGGTTCTGAATGAGGTCTATAGATATCTCGGCACTGGGAATGAAGCTACATTGGTGGGGGGAGGTGGGGTTAGGGTAGGTAATTGGAAGTGAGGAAGATGATCAGCCCTGATCTTAAGGAACAGCAGTGTAGACATGAAGGGCAGAATGGCTTATTCCTCCTCCTCCTATTCCACTTTCTATTATCTTCTTATGGTGAATGGTCCTTGCAACAGGCAGAGGTTCGGGGCCAGGAGTTCTCACAAAGCCTGGGTTCTACAACCATTTCAGACAATTTCCACCCATACATCACAACAATTACAGCTTTTCAAAATTATCCATTCAACAGCCTGGTGCTTACATCTGTCATTTCTCTTTATACAGACCCCAAATTACAGAAACTCTGGGAGTGTTTGATGAGGGGACAGTGTAGAGGGATCTTTACTCTGTATCTAACCCCGTGCTGTCCCTGTCCTGGGAGTGTTTGATGGGGGGCAGAGTAGAGGGATCTTTACTCTGTATCTAACCCCGTGCTGTCCCTGTCCTGGAAGTGTTTGATGGGGGGCAGTGTAGAGGGAGCTTTACTCTGTATTTAAGCTCGTGCTGTCCCTGTCCTGGGTGTGTTTGATGGGGGACAGTGTAGAGGGAGCTTTACTCTGTATCTCACCCTGTTCTGTCCCTGTCCTGGGAGTGTTTGATGGAGACAGTGTAGAGGGAGCTTTACTCTGTATCTAACCCCGTGCTGTCCCTGTGCTGGGAGTGTTTGATGGGGGACAGTGTAGAGGGAGCTTTACTCTGTATCTAACCCCGTGCCATCCCTGTCCTGGGAGTGTTGATGGGAGACAGTGTCGAGATGGCTTTATTTTCATTTTAAAACAGTAGAGGCAGCTTTACTCTGTGTCTAAACCTGGTCCATCCATACAGATAATGATCATGATGGGAGTGAGATAGATGAATAAATTGACGAAGAATGAGATGAATGGAGAGACTGAGGGAGAAGGGGATGAATGGAGAGATTGGGGAGAATGGAATGGATGGAGAGATTGAGGAAGGAGGGGATAGATGGAGCGATTGAGGACGAAGGAGATGGATGGAGAGATTGAGGAAGAAGGAGACCAATGGAGAGATTGAGGGGAAAGGGGATGGATAGAGAGATTGAGGGAGAAGGGGATGGATGGAGAGATTGAGGAAGAAAGAGATGGATGGAGAGATTGAGGGAGAAGGGGATGGATGGAGAGATTGAGGGAGAAGGGGAGATGGATGGGCAGATTGAGGGAGAAGGTGGTGGACAGAGAGCTTGAAGGAGAAAGGGATGGATGGAGAGATTGAGGGAGAAGGGGATGGATGGAGAGATTGAG